CCAGTGCCTGGATCCACGCCAAGGGGCTCCTGTAACCTCGCACTGGGCTGCTCCGCTCTGCTTGGACATCCCAATCCGCCCCTGGCTAGAGATGTGAAGGCCCAGGAAAAAACCTGGAAAAATTTGGGGGAGGAACGGTTTCCCCCCGTTTTTTTCCCTGAAGCCTTGTTTTGTTTTTTTCTGAAAATTGGAAAAATTGAAAAAAGGAAAAGAAAAGGGGGGAAATTGATTATAGAACATTTTCTTTTAACACGATGAATAAAATATTTTAAACCAAGGGGTTCAAATATTTTCCAAATCATTTCTGAAAAATATGTATGGTATCATTACAAACTGAACTCTCCAATGCAAGAACAAGATGCATTTCTTCCTTTAGGAGGTGCTACTGTCACAAGAAAAGAAAAAGGTTTCAGTTTTGTTTTTGCGTGTGGGTGGGTATTCTGTTTGTAATAATTGTTTGGATACGCTATATTTTTAATATGCTACTTGTGTTAATTTCATGCCAAGTAAAAATGTCCATAGTCATATTTTATGTTCCTAAAGTAACAGAATGACTTTCAATCTGGAAAAGAAAAAAGAAGTGCTAATGTAGCATTTATTTCAATTTTTCCGAAAATTTCCGTTCCCCCCCGAAAAAAACTGGGAAAAAACTGGGGTTTTTTCCGAGACTCAAAATTTCCGGAAATTTTACCCCTGGCTGAGCTCACTGTATGTGGTTTTATCACAATCGGGGCCGAAGCTGGAGAAAACGTCACGAGCCCCTATTATTCCTTGGGCCCAGCCTGGCTTCAAAGCTTCTGTTGCCAGTTTTCGTGGCTGCTCACAGTGCCTTCATCCTCCGTCAGGTTTGGACCTCGTTTCCTGGCCCTTTCCGATGCCTACGACGGGAAGATCCGCACGCTAGCGATGGAAATAGCCAGGCAGTTTGGATACGACTCCTTTGTCAAAGAGGGCGTCTACTGCATGGTCAGCGGTCCCACCTTTGAATCCATCGCAGAGGCCCGATTGTTGCACCTGTTGGGGGCAGATGCTGTGGGTAAGGAACGGCACGAACCACAGTCCTTTCATCACCAACAACCCCCAACTCTGAGAGCCAGTTTGGTGTAGTGGTTAAGTGCGCGGACTCTAATCTGGGAGAACCGGGTTTGATTCCACACTCCTCCACTTGCACCTGCTGGATGATCTTGGGCAAGCCGTAGTTCTGTCAGAGCTGTCCTTGAAAAATAGCAGTTTCTGTCAGAGCTCTCTCGGTCTCACCTACCTCACAGGGTGTCTGTTGTGGGGAGGGGAAGGGAAAGGAGTTTGTAAGCCGCTCTGAGATACCTTTGGGTAGTGAAGGGTGGGGTATAAATCCAATCTCTTCTTCTCCCACCACTCACAGTTCAGGTTGCCAGATTTGTGGGTTTTTTTAAATACCAGGCACACAGAGGTTCTGCGCTGCCTTGTGGAGTTCAAGGTTGGTAAGATTGCCAGTTGATCTGGATGGTCCATTGCTTTCACAGACTGAAAACTGAAAAAATAGGGAAGGGGAAGGGAAAGGATTTTGTAAGCCGCTCTGAGACACCTTTGGGTAGTGAAGGGTGGGGTATAAATCCAATCTCTTCTTCTTCTCCCACCACTCACAGTTCAGGTTGCTAGATTTGTGTGTGTTTTTTTAAATACCAGGCACACAGAGGTTCTGCGCTGCCTTGTGGAGTTCAAGGTTGGTAAGATTGCCAGTTGATCTGGATGGTCCATTGCTTTCACAGACTGAAAACTGAAAAAATAGGGGACATTTAAACGTCCAGTATTTTTTCAGTTTCCCCCCGACAGTCCGTGAACATATTGGACTGTCTGGTCAATAGCAGACTGTCTGAGACAGTGCTGGGA